ATCGGAAGGTGCTATGTCTGGGCTATAAGGCGGGTGAGGTAGAACTTCCCACCCACAGTTTTCCAAATAATTTTTAACTGGCATTGCAACATGTGGCCGAGCGTTGTCATGGTGAAAAATTATTGGTTCGTGCCTGGTAGCATATTCTGGTCGTTTTTCCGCGATGCTCTTACTACTACCAGTTAAGGTTCGACTATTATTAGAATGAACTTGTTTGTTGGAGTATGACCAAACTTGGGTCCTCCGTAAGGGTAATTCGACCACCTAGCCACCGTCACTCTTTTTATTTATTTTAGCACACACCTTATATTATTTGAAATCCAGCAGCCTAAGAAGCTTTCGAAAATTTATTTGAAATTTCAACAGGAAGAAGTAAGGAAGCATTTTCCCACAAATGTATCTTGAAGTAAAGGCACAAAACCATCAATTAAATTTTAATGAGTTAACTTACTAGAATTTAATTTATTTTGCCGTTACAACAAAAACAACAAAAAACGCTCCATGCATAATTGCGTAAAATGTAGTACTGAAATAAGATAGTTGCTGTCATTCATAGAACTTTGGCTTAAAGTTGCCAACAAACACGCTCAAGTGGCAGCAGTTAACTTTATTATCCACATTATATACCTCCATGCATACATACATATGTGGTTTCGTAGAACTTATCTTAAACTTCGCCGCAAACCAGAAACTTATGGCATTGACTAAAACACCTTCACTGCGGAGCCAACAAATATGCCGCAAACAATAACAATAACAAAGTTAATGCTGAGAACACTTGTCAGCTGTAGAGCGAGTGTTAAAAGCAAAAGTAATTAATTACGAATTTAAAATGTTATGCTGCACATAAAATATGTTGTATGCAACAAGAGTAACAGCAAAAACCCAAAACAACTTCGACATCGACGTAAAGCCTGTCTGTCACTCGACTCATTCATCAGCAGATCAGTCAAGCGTTGATGAGGAGGATGAAGAAGAAGAAGAACAAGAAGAGACGAAAAAGTAACGAAGCAGTTAAATGGATTCTTGCTTGCACTTGCAGCTCGTGCCGCAGGCGGCATTTGCAGTTTTAAATATGCATGCATTTAGAAGTAAATTTGATGGTGCATATAATATAACGTATGAATGTGTGTATGGTGTGCATGTGTGTGCGTGTGTTTATATGCTGCGTAACTTTTAAACGTCACTCATCCAATGAGTAAGTTTTCTGGGCAAGAATGTTGCAAATACGTTAAGATAAGTGTCTAACACTACACCCACACATGCAGTTTTATAGGTAGGGTATTAGGGTAGCATATAATATGCAAGTGAATGCGAATGCCTAGAATTAAGCTTACCGAAAAAAATATATTTTTGTGGAAACAAATTCTATAAGATTGAATAAAAAATGATTTCTAAGTCCAAAGAGCATTATGTTTCTAGTATCCATAAAAAACCTTACTTACTACAAGCATATGCTACTTCTGAGCTAACGCCACAGGTAAAAAACTTTAAAAAAAAATTTGTTTTATATAAACACACCCATTTTTTAAAATAAATTTGAAAACCTATAGTCAACCCTGGTGCTTCTAAATAGTTTTAGTTAGTCAGCTTAATGTGAAAACTTGTGTGTTGCAACAAAATAAACTATATGCATATTTGAACACCAGTGCGTGCAACATGTCTTGTTGGCTTGGCGTATTTAGCTGGCAGTTAGAATTTAATGACTAACAAAAACTTTCGATGCAACTTTGGCTAAATTAAAAAAAAAATATTAATCAAGTTAAATTGATGGAAACATAAACGCACTTGCAACATCAACCATACATATGTATACGAATCGGTACCGATCATCCAAGAATTTCCTCTACCAGCAGCAACATTTTTCTCATCTCTTTAAAAGTAAGAATGGACTTACTTTGTATGCAAGCTTTCCAACGAGATTAGTTCTTGCGAATTCATCAGAAGTGAGTGAATGTCAAAGTTTGGCATTTTAAGCAAATTACCTTCATTAAAGAAGTTTGTATGTGCAGTTTGTGGAGTACCACAAACTTGTGTACAAACCACATGCGCGTCGCTATAAATATTCTCCGTTACATTTATGCACTTACCACTTGTAGTTAATAGGTTGTTATCTAAGTGGATGCATATGTTTGTGGAAGAGTCTGAGACAAGTTCTTTTCTGCAGTAAAGCCTGCAATCAGCTTGAACTAGTTTGCCGCCAATTATTTCGCTTGAACTACAAAACCGCGCTCTCTTCGTGATATGCTCAAGAATTGGGAGTTTCAAAACATAGCGTATGACCTTGTTGCCTATTTACATTAAAAATACATACATTTATATGATATACATATGTACTTGTATTAGCCGGCACACCAATAAGAGCAAACTTCTCAGTATATTTATGAAACGAAAATCTTTCTCAACTTTATCGCTTTGCTGCGTAATATTATTATAGGATGAAATAAGAGAAAAAGCAAAAATCTTTTATTATGATACTCATATTAGAGACCATCCGGAGCGATATACTGCATATAGTGATCTTCCCACTCTTGCTTCAAAAAAGTCCTCAGTCTCGACAATTACCTCTGTATTATTGCCAAATTTTTTTTCAAAGAGATCTGAGAACAATAAATGTTGCTGTGGGCAGATGCAAAAAATACGGATCGAAGTCCGATGGATGCAAGTTTTTTCCTTGATTTTGAACGCGATCTGTTTATAGATTTTGAATTGGCAGTCGGCTCTCCACGTCGATATTATAACCCCATCAGTAGAAAAATTTACTATTTTTAAGCAACTTATATGCCGGTAAATATAAATACAGCTGATAGTGTATTCTCTCTCTCTCTCCCTGTCACTCCTTCTCAGCATTGTCATAGTTCTAGAAGCCACCAGCTGTTCTGGGTCTACCTGTATATACACACATAAGATTATACGCTTTAATATAACTGTATGGAAAGCTCCCCTACTGCTACAACTACCATTGAGCGCACATAGTTCACCGAACAATTGGCCGACGTCTAACCAACCGCAGCGAAAACAGCAATGACTACTTGTTGCACGACACGCACACTCATTAAAGTCAAATCATTAATATCTGTTAATAAATCATGTTATTATTAATTTATGCGGTATAACGATAATATATTTACGTACTACTCACTACACACTGATAAGTACGAGTATAACAATATTAATAGCATTTAACACACTCCTTCAAGCAAACAGATAAACAAACGTCTGGTATAGGCAAGCACAAATGCCAACAATAGCGCCATGCAAGCGACGTTGAGGAAACCTGTCACGGATGCCGGCTTGTTCTCCTATACATACAAACATATGTATATCGTATTAAGCAATCAGCAGAGCAGCGATTAACACCTTTTGCATTTACTTATTTACCACACATTGAGACAGGCAAGCACAATTATTAACACGATAATAAATATGATTATTTTATATTGGTGTGAGATTTACCGGTGCTCAAACGATTTCTAACACATGCACATACATACATACCATCATACAATGTAACAGCCGTTCAAACTTGTCAACAAAAATAACACTTATTACAGAGAGCATCAAGCCCGCTAGTGCCTTTGTTGCACTGATTAAAAATTATTTAATATTAATTTAATAACAATATTTGATACTGCGCGAAAGTGTTTCTGAAGAGCATTTACTACTGAATCTCTACTGATCCTCACCTCTCTCCACATACGCTTGCTTGAAAAGCGCACCTAAAAAAGATCAGCTAGATTTTAATTTAATTGAACTCGTTCCACTGTTATAACCAGTTTCGTTTATTATATTGAAATTCAGAATTTTCGTATTTTCGAATGGTCTTAAAGGAGTGTCAAATATGGAATTAAATTGGCTTAGTGAAAGGCCAAGAAGAGATTATTTCGTTATGAGTTGCGCAAAGCGAAATGATAATGTTCATATGTATTTAATGATGCACATACAAATAATACAAATAAACAAATAATAAAGTTGAGAGATGGCACGCCGCAAAAAGGAGGTAAAATATACGCGTATGGAGAATGTATAAGAATATTACAAAAATTATTATTGCGATTTATATAATAATCCCGGAAAATTAAAAATTATGTGAACCCGAGAGTTTTGGATATATTGTATACTTGTATATTAATTCGGGATTTCAAGGGCTAAAAAATCTCTACGCCTTATAACCATTGTTTCTTTTATTAAATTTGCCGAAGTTTGTAACATCCAAAAGGAAACGCCGGAGATCCTACAAAGTATATATACATACATATATATAAAACTGGTCATGGTGACGAGCTGAGTCGATTTAGCCATGTCCGTCCGTCAGCGTAATCTAGTCAGTAGTTCTAGTTCGAACTAGTGTCTCAGTTTTTGGGATATCGGTCTGGAATTTTGAAACGACCTTTTCTCACCAAGTCGGAGCCGCAGATATCGGACCACTACAGCATATAGCTGCCATATAAACTGACCGATCAAAATCAAGATCTTTTTAAACCTCTTTATGCTATAATAAATGCACCTGTGTAGGGTATTATAGCTTCGAAGTTAACGTCTTGTCTTGTTTATTTTTAAACTTGGGATAATCTGTACTACTAACTTACATACCAAAAAATACTTAATACTATATACATATTTGCATCCGATACTTGGACTTACCCGTGGCCGAAGGTTTGCTTTAAATTTCTACCTCGGTTGGTAGTCACCAGCCTATTAAATTAACTGACTTATGATCCCATATATGCAAATTTCATATGTGCAGTCAATATGAAAAATTTTCTTCCGTCGTCTTTTCGAATTTAAGTTTAATAATTTTTATATTGTGGAAATTGGTAACTTTCAAAAACCAGAATTTTAAATTATTACTTATTAACACCACAAAACATTTGGTTCTTTGAACTTCTATTGAAAAGAACTTCCTTCAATAAACATTCATTTGTAAATTCACTCGTCTTCATATATTCTTTTTACTTGTCCTCACTTTACTCTCATGAAACTATAAATTGACACACCAGGAGCTAAAGGCTGATGATGTCGTCATAGTAAAGAACACTGCGGTCAAATAATAGGCGCCAAGCGTCGTACGAGGATATGAACTCACACCCACCGCTGAATCGAACGCATTTCACTACCAGACAGCAATGGACGAGCAAACCGTGTGTAACCGCACAAATTACTGTACCAACCCGATGCAACGTGCCTTTTGCAGCACCTTCGGACAACGGAACATAGATCACAACTGTACAAACCACATTTATAATGGAGGAGGAGAAGGCGTTGAAGTGAAAATCGAAGGCGCCGATAATTATTTATATCTGAATGTGCATAGTGTAAGTAATAGGATGTGGTGAAAAGATGTATGTATATAGGGATTCACGAATAGAGTAACCAGAAAAAGATTAGAGGTACATTTTTATAGGAAATAGACTCTTGGCCCTACAACTGTCGAAGCGATTATCACCTAATTTGAAATCTCGCTAAGCCTATTTTGAGAGGAAGATCGAGCTAATTAAAAATACGAAATCCCTTTTGCTTTTTCCTACACAGAGAAAGCCTCCCTCTTCAACCACCAACTTTTTTTGAATTCATCCTTTGCTTCTATATTGGTTCCGAAATAGAGCAAATTTTTTACAAATGTTCGGATTGTAATGAAATTGCACTGAGAGTTAATTTATCAATAGGAGATATCTTGACTCGCCTACCCACTTTGCTTCTATATACAATTTGAAGAAAAAGGAACGAACAGCTTCATTGTTTAGACCATAGCTATCGACATTTTTTAAGTTTGTTACATGTTTAACAAAATGTTTACATCTGGCCACTCCAGCTGAGTATAAGAATCCACTATTTGTTTCCGATCGAATAAATTGAGGCTGGCATTGAAATTGTTCAAGCAGAAGAATGACTACTTGGCACTAAACGCGTGAAGCCTACATAAATCGATATACAAATGTATTTTTGTATTTACATATAAACGAGTCCATACCACATTCGGTATTGTCCCCTGCAGCTACAACGCAGAAGAGGAAACTTTTTGTATCATTTCTGAATGCCACTTGCACAATGGTAAGTAAGCGAGCCTTTTTTTCTCTATTATACAGGTGAAACCTGATAAACCACGTCCCGTTATGGTTTGGATTTATGGCCGTGGTTTTTGTAGCGGCGAAGCCACACGGGAGCAGTACGCATCCGATTATTTCATGCGCAAGGACGTGATTTCGGTGACAACATCGATTGGACGCTTTAAGTATGTATGTCTCAACACATACCTATATCTATATGTTCATATGTATTGTACATTTCAAGTTGCCCAAAGCGTAGTCCGCATGGAAAATATGCACCTTCATACTCCTAGTAGTGCTAGTTTTAAGGTTCCAATTGCGGCGCTAAGAGAAATTAAACGCAGTTGGGAATGTTTCATAAAATATTTCGACCAAGCCGTAACGCTGTCAGTACAATATTACTTACACTGAGCACTCAAGCGAGAGGACTATCTCACCGCGTCATTATACAATCGTACACTATCGACTTGTCACCCGTTGACCGCAAGCCGAATGTACAAGTAAATGCTCCCGCCAAAGTGCCTGGCCACAATAAATTTGGAGGGTGAGCGTAAAATATTTCATCATCTATGGTACATTGTAATGGGCGGAGGTGAGAATGGAATATGTATCAATGAATATTTGCAATGAATATTATTTCGTAACACCCACCTCCATACATCAAACTCCACTCATTTGCCATTTGATGTTAGATTTGCACTACGACCTTTGATCCTCCCATGCTTGATACAATAAAGGTGACGTGCTCTCTCTGCGAATAAGGTATTTCCAATCAATGTGCATTCATGAAGCAGTTACTCAAGTATATCCGGCGCGAATTCGTAGCACCGACCGTGTCCCAAACAGTCGACCTGACTTCTATCTAGTTAAGTTTTTTTTGACTCGGGAGAGGTTAGTGATCTGACTGAATCTAACGTCGTTTGTAGGTAATCTACCATATCCCTCTGTATCCTTATATCCAGTAAAACACACGAAAAGTTCGTGATTCTTATAGGTTAAGTCATTAGTTTCTCGCGTAACTTTTGTAATGAGTAACGCTAAGTAGAGAAAGTCATGGAATGGCAACAGTTTACATCTTCATAAATATGAACCAACTTTGAAAGAAACAAATATGAGACTCTCAAATTCTCGAAATGACGAATTTTCCTTGAAATTGGATCCAATGCATTTGAATCTTATGATGTTGTTAAACAGAATCTCGTAGATAAACAACCTGCCAGTCAAAATTTCAAGGTTACTTAATAAGGAACAACGACATTTATCTTGATATACATCGGCTATTGTAGTGTTGCCTTGGACAATAATCTATGTCAAATTTCGTGAAAATAATTTGTTAAAGAAATATATTTTCCATACGAGTACTTGATTTTGATCGATTAGTTTCTATAAGAGCCATATCCTATCGTAGTCCGTTATGGGTTCCAACAAATGAGCAACTTCTTGGGTAGAAAAGAACGTGCGCAAAATTCTAGATCGATATTTCGAAAACTGAGAAAACAGTTCGTGTATATATAGACAGTCAGACGGACAGTATTAAATCGACATTTCCTATTGACTGTTACAAAGTTCGTTGCGAACTAAATAAACCCTGTTCAGGATATACAAATTAAAGTCGCAGAAGCAACTTCACATTTAATAAATTCCATGAGATTCCTTTGCACGAGTAGCAATAATGTCAACTCCAGTTCATGTCAATTGATGTAACATAAATATTAACAAGTTGCTATGTATATCTTCTCACTTCCGCTTTTGCGCGCACTACTGCAACCAGCTTGCCACATACGGATTTTTCTGGCATCCGCTACAGCATATCATTCAAGCACGCCTACAATACGCTGCCCACATGTCCACCTTCGCCTAAGACTCGTCAAAGCTAATGCATCCTTTACACTTCCGCAGCGACATTTTTATTGAAGGTAGGCGAAACCCAAAACCTCTACCACTGCCGCAGCATACAGCCATGCCACACATGTTGCCGCATCGCCCTATCAATCTCACATGTTTGTGTGCATAAGAAGTGACAAAGCATAGAGTACCGCACCATTAAGCGCTTGATTGGCTTATGGACGATATGCGCCGCGACGGGCAATCCGAATCCGAGTGAAGGCGAAATTAATGGCTTGAAAGATACTAAATGACGTCCTTTGCAACGCTTTGCTACAGGCAGCTACACTTCCGCCACCACCAATACAAATACCGTTACTTCATGGATCCCATCTGCCAAAACGATTGCTTTTAGCGGCGCTACGGGCAAGACTGCTGTGCTGCTTGTGAGTGAAAATGCTTGAATATTGGCAACGATCTGGAATTTATGACATTACCCGAAATGACCAAGTTGTGCGTGTGGCACAAATGTATCGCTTGTGTCGTGTGCCGTCCGCCCGCCAACATCAATGATTCTATCGATTTGCATTTGCACATCAAGTCCGCGTCATCGTTTTGTTGTACACCCAGGCGTCCCAGCCGTGTTGTTGTAAAGCGTATACTCGTAGAAGTAGTTGTGTCCATTTGCTGCGAATTAAAATTGAAATTTATGAATCGAATGTTGCATGAGAGAAAACGGTAGCTTTACAATTGCTGCTGTAGGTAATTAATTATGTGTAATAAACGTTTGTAATTTGTGGCATTAACTATGCAAGTGCTTGAGTCATTAATTATGCAATTAAAATGATGTCAAAAATAGTTTGTTTTATTTAATCGCCAAACAATGGACCTATGACTTGGCTAATGTTTCATGCTAGCAACTGCTGTAAAGCATTCACACACCTACACACATACTTACGTTCATATATTTGGTAATTTACCGTGAAGCTATTAAAATGCTATAATATACTGTTAATTGCAGCAGTAGCATGGATGGAAAATAGAATAAATGAAAGTAATATATTGTTATCAGAACTTCTTCGTTTTTACAAGTATTGTAGTAATGATCAAGTAAAATAGAAGAACAGATAATAGTAATCTCAAAGAAAGCAAAGTTTTCAAAGGACCAACAATATTATGATTTAAACTATTCTAGCTTATTTCAACTCTAAATCGTGTGTCAACATTCTTTAAATAAAGTATACCTATTGAAACTGTCATCACGCAGGCAACTCATAGTAGCATCTTGGAAAGTTTACTTTGTGGTGAGAGCTTATCAAAGTATCACCAAGCTTTTCTCAGAACAGTGTTTTCCCAAGTCGTAGTAATGCTCGATAAATACATCTTTTTTGGTTTTCATTTAAGGAAAAGACTGTCGAAACCTCTATTAATACCATACTTGTTCAAAATGTCTCAGGAATTATATGTATTCCTAAAACTATCCTTGGCATTGTAGGACGTAATAAAATGTTGAATTACAAAATATTCTGTAAAAACTTCTGACCGACCTATTGAGTGCCACAGCATTGACTAACAAATATCTCTCTCTCATCCCTTCATTGTAATATTCTTTTCGTCAATGAGTTTTATGTTTGCTTTTTTATCGTATTGAAAGAATCATATTTGTTAGTAAGGAAATTTCTGAGAAATATAGAATTCTGTTTATTTACCATCTACATATATGAGAAATGCATAAATATTTATACAACAAGTAAGGAGTAGCTAAGTTCGGGTGGAACCGAACTTTTTATACTCTTGCAGCTTGCAAGAATCAAAGCAGGGAAAATACCTTCAGGTCTTAGGGAAATATTATATTAAAAATGTTGCGAAACAATTCAACATTCAATATGCGATGAAATTGTAAATGGATTACAATCAAATTTGGTATTTTAGTTGTATTACTATATTTAACTACGCGTCAGCGAAAATTGTATAAAAATTATCTTCAAATGAGAAATCTGGGTTATAAACTCAACTGAAGAAGCTAAATTTAATATTATGAGTTGATGTGAAAACGTCAACCAAGGGATCGCAATTCAATATTTTAGGAATATAAGGTTTGTACCAATGTCTAAACCAATTTCATTTATATTCCCATAAAATTTTTAAGAAAACTTGTTTTATTTCATCATCATCATTTATTGAAGTATCACACATTTTGTTAGATGGAAAGTCAGCAATTATTACACAGGCTATATTGGGGACAGAGGAAGGGATGGGCTGACTGATTTAATTTTGACATTGCTGAGGTATACTTGATATCATATTTTCAAGCAATTTTATAAATATATAACTCCCAAATAAATAAATAAATATAACTTCCACATTGAACGATATGTTCGTTATAAGGTTTGATAAAATAACAAACATCAATATATGTAATACTTGGAAGTTGGGGTACTTCGTAGACTAAATTCACATATTTTCGGCATTAAACGTACGAGTTTATCCAATATTACACGTTGAACTATATATATGCAATATTAAGCAGATAATTTTGCTAAGATATCTTATATTGACTGATTTATATCGCATAAGACTAACCGGAAGTTTGAAACCTTATGTTAGGTATATGAGTGATAGGGGTAGGATTGACCCGATTTTATCTAATTTTGGCAATACAACATACTACAAGTAACATTATTACATGTATTAACAGAATAAAATGCCTCCTGAGTTTCATTGAAGTACCTCATATACCGTCACCAACATATATGGAGTAAAATCAACAGGATGTTTCAAAATTCTGTGATTAGTTATATGGGGGCTAAGGCAAGCTTTCATCCAATTTTATTCATTCTAGACACAAAGATACATTGTTATTAGGAAAATATTTTCATTTCATTTTTTGGAATAACTCACACATTGGCTGATATATGCGGTATAAAGTCACCCGAAAGTTCGAAAATCTTTATATTAGGTCTAAGCGAAATATTCACCCAATTCAACCCATTTTCGACACTCAGGCATACTATCATCAGGAAAGCATACCCTCCTAATTTCAATTATTTATCTCACACATTTACCGATATTTTCGGTAAGAAGTCAACTATAAGCACTGGGGTCCACATATTCGGTACCTAGGGGCTTGAACAGTTTTGATTAGATTTGAACAATTTTTGGTCATAAGCTGGTGCACTTTAGAGGGGCTATTTATGCAAAGTCTTATCCCGATATATTAATTGGTGCTTTATTTGTATACTGGAAAGTGAAAGGGTCAAATGGAACTTAAAATTGTGTTACATGGAAAGTAGGCGTGATTGTGATCCGATTTCATCCATTTTTATACATCCTGAATGTAAAATGTAATGTCTCTGACGCATTTAGTTATTGATTTGTCACATTTTTAGTAGTTTTTAGCAAAGCCGGTATATAGGGAGTACGCGGGGTTATCATCCGATTTTACCTATTTTCACAACATAATAAGAAGGGTTAAAAATATTTGTTGTGTGCAAATTTGGGTGATATAGCTTTATTGGTTTGGGAGATAAATACATTAAACTTACTGGGGAGCGGGACACACCCACTTTTTAAAGATTTTCAAACCGCAGGTGCCCCTATTTAATTAGATTTGTTGTATATCTTAATTTTCGGCTTAGTTACAGCAATTGTTATGTTTACGATTAATGCCATTTTGTGGGCGTGGCAGTGGTCCGATTATGTGCATCTACGAGCTGGTCCTTACCATTTTGCCAAGAAACATGTGTACCAAGTTTCATCAAGATATCTTAATTTTTACCCAAGTTACAGCTTGCACAGACATACGGACGGACAGACGGGCGGATAGACAGTCACCCATATTTCAACGTGTCTCGTCATCCAGTTTATTTATAAATATATATATTACCGTATATCTATCTCGATTAGTTTTAGGTGATACAAACAACCGTTAGGTGAACAAAACTATTATACCCTGTAGCAACATGTTGCAAAAGTATAAAAAGTCTTTGTTCTATTTTTTAACAAAAATCTTCCGACCTAGCCTACGCTTTGCTTGACAATTCAGACTTTAATAACCATACGAAAAAAGTTAAGGCTATGTCAGTATGAACGCTTTGCTTTCCATGCTTCTCTCTTAGCTCTCTCTTTTGCAAAGCGTAATAAGATGAGAGTTACCCAATATTTCGTTTCGTTTACTCCAGTCGAACTTCTCTATTACGAATTTCTGTACAACGAAGTTCTCTTTAGATGTGAGAAACTAATTTCCAGGACACTACAATTTTATTACAATTTTAGTATAATTATGCTTTCAGTATAACGAATTCCCTTATGGCGATTTTTTTTTTGCGTTTTTAATCTCGCTATAACGAATTTTGTTTCGACTTTAATTTTTTACCACAGAAATGTCAAAAATGGATGTTTGGAGAAAATTTTATGAAAAAAAGTAATTTTTTGAAGTTAATGAAAAGGCTGTTAGTTAGTGGAATGTTGGTCCGTTGCATCGCGACCTTTTCAAACCATCATATTACTTGTTTTCTATATATGTACATAAGTTACATTCTTATTTTTGATCTCTAAAGCTTCGCTATATAGAAGTGTGGACCAAAAGTATTGTTTCCAGTATTGATGTCCGCTTTATTACTCCAGCATGACACAACTTTAATGGACTAAATGAAGGATTTTAGTTTCAGAAAAATTTGACAACATGTCATATATCAAACGACTAATGGATTGCAGTTCGGAAAAAATCGTGTGATTTAGTTTATGCTTTACATATATTTATGTATTATGTAAATATATTTAGCATACATGTAAAAATATGATTTCCAACGGATTTAGTAAGAATGGAGACTTCCTGCATTTTCATAAAGCTACCACATTTCTAGCAGTTTGATGAATTGGGCGTTAAAGTAGAGAACGTAAATGAATTCATTACAATTCAAATTACCCTTGCTGTCCGAATAATTGACAAATTCTGCACTGCTATAACAACCAAAATGGTATGTATCTAAATTTCTGAGCTATTATGGGATTTTAAAAATTACCCACAGAAGGAAATTGCCCAAAAGGATAATATTTATGGGTAGGAAATTTGTCGTTTCATAAAAATTCTTTTTGTAGACATGAGGAGAATAAATTCAGCGGGGTTATTAAATATCTCCAACGAATATCGTAAAAACTACATAATCGGCAAGGTTTGCGTCTAAATAAATTGAAGCATATTTCTTCAAATCATTTCAGAAATTGTAGAGTATGGGGTGAAACTGTTATTTTTAAGATGGTATACAGGTCAAATCTGATCAAATTTGACTCGGACTGGTCCATTTAAACTGCGCCCACAAACCGGATCGGTGAAAATTTATTTTCCTAAATTGGTACAGTCTTGTTTACAATTCAAAAGCTGGTCTGGCGATATTTTATGAAAAAAAAATTTAACAACGATTTTGATTGAAATTTTGTGTTTACGATAGAATCACGGCTACGGAATTATTGAAAATTGCAGAAGTATTTGGGCAGTCTACTTTATGACGAACACAAGTGACTGGCACAAAGTCTTCAGTGAAGGACATGACGTCATCGAAAACCTGCCTAATGCGAGTCGACCAGCCACATCCGTTAATGACGATAACATCGATTAAGTTAAAGACACAATGTTTGAAACTCGTTGCGTTGGCATTAGAGAGATATAGGAGGATCTCATCGTCTCTTATGGGTCGACTCAACATAATTTGGTTAAAGTATTTAGTATGAGGCGTGTAAGCTAGACTGGCACCTGAAAACTGAAATTCATGGCAAAAATGACGTTGAGTAGAGATCGCAAAAGAGATGCTTGACAAAGTAGCGGATGACCCTAAATGCATTAAAC